TATATATATATATATATATCTAAAATTTTTGGAGCATTAGCTACATTATAAATGCCTTCCAACTCTCATGCATGCATGATGTATGTAAGTAACAAATCCACAAACACATGCAGGGTTGCGACAGTTCAGTCCTACTAGACTCTACCGCCAACAACACGGCGGAGAAAGATGCGCCGCCGAACCACCCCAGCCTCCGTGGCTTCGAAGTGATCGACGCCGCCAAGTCCGCCGTGGAAGCCATATGCCCCAACACCGTCTCCTCCCCACCACCGCCCCCTGCGCCGACATCGTAGCCTTCGCAGCCCGGGACGCCGCTGCCCTCTCCGGCAACATCTCCTACCAAATCCCCTCCGGCCGCCGCGACGGCAACATCTCCCTGGCCTCCGACGCCAACGCCAACCTCCCCTCCCCCCTCTCCAACGCCTCCACTCTCATCACCGCCTTCGCCGCCAAGAACCTCACCGCCGACGAGCTTGTCACGCTCTCGGGGGCCCACTCCATCGGCGTTTCCCACTGCTCGTCTTTCAGGAACCGGCTCTATAATTTCAGCTCCAGCAGTCAGGGGGATCCGACGCTGAATCCGGCGTACGCGGCGCTGCTGCGGTTCGCCTGTCCGTTCAACAGCACCTCGTCGGGAAATACAACGGTGGCGATGGATGTGCTAACGCCGGTGGTGCTGGACAACTTCTATTACATTGGGCTGAAAATGTCGCTGGGGCTGTTCACGTCGGACCATGCTCTGCTGACGCAGGGGAATCTGAGCGCCGCCGTCGATGATAACGCCTGGAATCCGGCGGGGTGGGCGGCGAAGTTTGCGAGGGCGATGGTGAAGATGGGGAGCATTCAGGTGAAAACGGGAACGCAGGGGGAGATTAGAAGGAACTGCCGCGTCGTGAACGGTAGGAGTCTGGCAAATGTTGGGCCGGCGGCGGAGGAACAGGGGAGCTCCTTGGTGGCTGACATGTGAGAAGATAACTGCGTGTCACACCCCGCTATCTTCAATGAAATGACAAGACAAGTATTGGAAAGAAAATTCTAGCAGAGGCATGTCATCCTTGAACTTTGATTAAGCATCTTGTCCACAAAGGAAGTTTTTTTTGCATCTACGAGTTAGCATAGGAAGACCAAGGTACTTGGTTGAATAGCCTATTGTGTGTTTGGCAATCAGGGTCCGTAGGGTTTTCCTTTTTCATGTTTGTCTTGCCATTTTCTTGAAGATTGGGGGAGTGAGATGTGGCTGCGAATATTAGTTGTGTGCGGATAGAATTTGAGATGGTATGACTGAGACTTTGTTTTGAAGAGAATAAGATGAGGGGAGTTCACGTAATTATCTATGCAGTTGCTTAATAATAATAAGATTTACATAAAAATCGCTTAATTCTCATGTATTTACATAAGCAAAGATCATATTTTCTCAATTATTTCTATTTTCTTAATAGGTATTAGATATATGTTTTTATTAATCTTATTTTCTAGCATATTTATATTTTAATACTTGAAATATTTTCTTAAATTTTGAGTGAAGTGCAATTTGATAATTATGATGAGAGTGTATAGGTGGCTTCTCCATATAAAGTTTGAGTCTTTAGTGCAATGAGAAGTCTTCTAATCATAATATAAAATCTTTCCTCACGTCCCCCCATGCTGCGCGCTGTCATTCACAGCGGCGCTCCAATTGGCCTAGCGAGCCCAGACTCAGCTCTTGTTTAACTCGTTTATATTTTAAACACAAAAAGTGTGTTCTTATTCAACTTATTTGCTTAACAAGCTGAACACGAGCTATTCACGAAAAAAAAATCTTTTTGACAACTCTAATCACATAACCATAAGATGTTAAAGGCTGAGAAAAGATTTAAAAATTATTGTTTATATAAAAATATGATTTAAATCTAATATAAAATTTTTTATTCTTTTTTTTAACTAATACTTTTAATTGATTATAAATATTTGTTGCGTTGTAGTCAATTAATATTTTTAAAAATATTACTCATTAATATATATATATATATATATATATATATATTTTTGATGTCTATTTCTAATCAAAACGTATATAATTCGAGCCAAAAACAAGTCGGACACAAGCTTTAGCCCTACCTGCGACAGCAGCAGCCCCACAGAAATAGATTAAGGGTCCGTTTGGGGCCACTTTTTTGCGGCTTCGCGGCCCCGAATGGCGAAAAATAGGTGTTTGACTCGCAGCGTCGCGACACAGCGAAGTTAAAGCGGGAGAAAAGCAGGAAGCGATATTCACCCCACGGCAGAGCTTTTATGTCGTGAAAAGGATCCTTTTGCCATGCCAAAAACCCTCGTTCCTCCCTCCTTGCCGCGTGAGTTCTTCTTCCTCGAGCCCTTTCTTCTTCCCGCCCTCGTCGCTATCTCGCCTCGCTTGTGTAACGACCAGGACCACCGCTCTCCCGCATGAGTTCTTCTCCCTCGATCGAGAGACGGAGCTTTTAGGCTCTCCGTCGAGCGTCTCCCTCACGCGGCTGCTTTCTTGTTTCTCTTGGCGTCGCGGCTTTAATTAGGGCACGGGATCCCTCGGCTGCCTCCCGTTCTCGGTGCGTCACGGCTGCTTTCTTGTTTTTCTTGGCGTCGCGGTCGAGGGAAAACTCTTGTAATTTTTACTGGTTTAATTATTCATGGAAAACAAGCTTCCCCGCAGCAGCTTTTTGGGGCAGCGCAGCTGCGCCGAACAAAAGTTGTGAAGCTGCAGCTGCACCAAACAGACCCTTATGGGGTAATGCATATGGATACTTTTCCAGTAAACGAATACTTTATGCTCTTTATTATACACTAAGCTTGTGGATGAAGTTTGCGCTTAAAGTCAAGGATGCTAATAATTTGTCAAATCACGAAATAAAATGATATGAATAAACTATGTTCCAATTAATAAAATTGTTTATTTGAACTTATTTCTAAATGAAATAAGTCTCATTTGTGCATAACATAAATATTTATAGAACCTAACATATTTTTGAAGTAGGGAGTGAACCCAACATAATGATATCAAATTCAATTTTTTTAGAGATTCTTAATTAAAATAACAAAATAAAGAGATTAAACACAAGCTTTTGGGTTTTTCTTTCGTAAACATAATTATAAACAACGCCACAATTCGAATAACATGAAATTTTTATGAGAAAAGTGCGAAGAAATTAAAATTTCTACTCACCAAAGTAGGTTTCCAAGGAGAACACGAATCCAAAGCCTCAAACCAATGGAGAAATATTCTTCCAAGTGCTACACATAATCAACATTAATTTGTTTGAGTAGTTTAAATACACATCTAAGCACCCTATCATCATACCTTTTCATTACTAAGAAACTACCTAAAAGAGAGGAGAGGGAGTGGCCCATCCCCGCATGTAACCACCATAACTATCTATGGTCTAAATTTACTAGCATCCACTTATGCATTGACTCCACATAAGCATACATTGGCTCCACACAAGAAAAAGTCGATGCCACCTAGGTAAATTTTTGACTTCAACTTAAATACACATACATTTCACATAAACGTGAACAATAAGGAAATATAATTGAAGGTCTCTAAGGCTTTCAAAATCATCAAATTCCATTCAAACTTGTTTTGGCCCTTGATTTGAATTTAGTAGTCGGGCCATTTCATCTAGCTTGAGAACTAGTGATGGGGCCACCACGGTGTGCCACATCATTAAATCTCACATAGCTCTACAAAAAAAAAAAAAAAAAAAAAAAACCCACAAGTCCTATTACCTGAAAACATAGATCTAAGCAAATAAATTATTGATCTAACCAAATAAAAATTAGATTTTGCATACATTTGACATTCAAAAAAATAAAAACAATATGCTTATTTTGCAAGAATAAGTAAAACATTACGTTTGAAATTTCAAAAAAAAGTTTGTAGGTAAGAGAAGGAGAGAAGGCGAGGTGTCTTCGGATTTGTGAAGAAATTGACTAAATTAGGCTAAAATAGAGATTTGTTGAGCTATGGGATGAAGAAGGCCAAAAGGGAGTGAGAGAATTTCAAGGAAGAAGAAAATAAAGAAAAGGAAGAGGATTTTGATGACCATTCTCTGTTTTCATAATGACATTTAGGGATACTTTTGTTATTTATCTTATTTTCTATCATATTTATATATATTTTAAGATTTACAAGATACTCTCAATTTTTGAATTAAGTTCAATTTGATATTTATTATCGTAGTACATAGATAGTTCTTCTATATAGAGTTGAGGTTCTAGTGCAATGAGAAGTCTTCTTACATTACAAGGAGAAGTCTTCTCATGGCAATTCATCATACTGCAAAACTTCCTCCCCCACCTACCCCCATGCTTGGAAAAATTATTGGCTCAGGACGCCGAACATAAATTTGTGCCCGATGTTCGAAGGTGGGTCCCACTTTTTTAAAAAGCAACAAAAAATATGTATTTCAATGGACCCCATATTTACAAGTGAACAATTTTAATTGAACACTTGCGCCCGATGTCTTGATGCAATAATCTCTCCCAAGCTTGCGACTGGCGCGGCCTCACATGATGCATAAGAATAAATTTGATTATGAGTAGTCTTAAAGTCCGATGGATACTTTTCTCATTTTATCAAAGTAAACGAATATTTTATGCTGTTTATTAAATACTAAGCTTGTGGATGAAGTTTGCTCTCAAAGTTAACTTAAACATGCTAGTTATTTAGAAAATAAAATAAAGTTTTTTTTTTTTAAATCAAATTATTTTGATTGAAATATGCGGACTTCTTAAGTTGGTTGAATTTTATTTTATCAAAAAAAAAAAAATCTATTAAAGTATTCACATACATATCACCCAATTCTTTTGTATTTATATTAACTTTATTTTTTACATTTTTATCACCCAAATATGTAATATGTTTCTTCTAACTTTATAAAATTGAAATATATATTATAATTCACAGGTAAGGTGGCATACGTAAAAATTAAAGTATAGGGGTTCGATATATAAATGCATAAGACTTGAGTGCTATGCATGTAAATCTTTCAAATGTAATAAAAAAAATTTTTATTTATAGAAAGTCAATTTTATAGGTAAATGCATTTACCTATAAAATTATGAAGGAAAATGTCAGTAATGACGTTTCAAAAAACGAAATAAAATGTCATGAATATACTATGTTCCAATTAATTTTTTTTTTTTTTGGAACATATTTCTAAGTAAAATATATCTCCTTTGTGCATAGGGGTGTAAGCGAGCCGAACACGAGCTGAGCTTTTGACTCGTTAGTATTTTGAGCTCAAAAAGTATTTTTGTGTTTGACTCTTTTGCTTATCGAGCGGAACACGAGGCTCGTGTTCACGAACAAAGAGTAATTTTGACAACCCTAATTACGTAGCCATAAGATGTTAATTATTGAGACAAAATTTAAAATATCATTTGAATCTAATATAATAATTTTTATTTTATTTTTTTAATTAATACTTTTAATTGATTATAAATCTTTATAGCCATGTCGTCAATTAAATTTTTTAAAAATACTACTCATCAAATAAATAAATAAATTATATATATATATATCAAATTGATTAGTAGTATTTCGAGCCAAAACGAGCTGAACACGAAGGAGCAACTTTTTGTTTGTGTTGTTCGTGTTCGGCTCGTTAACTTAACGAACCGCTAACGAACAAATATTGTGTTGTTTGTGTTCGATTCGTTAACTTAGCGAACGAGCCGAATACGAGCTGTTAACGAGCCGTTTTGACAGCCCTATTTGTGCATGATATAAATATTTAAAATAAAATGAAATTTTTAGCCAAATCAGTCCACTAAAAGTAAGTCAACTGCTCGCCAAGTCATTTCACCACGTTCATTGAATAAAAAGGTTTTTCAACCGTGTTAGGCATTGGAATTTGAAGAGATTTTTATATTTGTAAAAATTAAATTAATTTTATACTTTGAAAGAGCGCTTCAATAAACTACAGTAAGGTTTACATGTATACCACACAATTCCCATGTATTTACATATCTAACTTCTACACTTCAAATTTGAAACACATGTAATCTAACTTAACTTTTGCATGAAAAAATACATTCCACCACCTAAAATTTAAAATGATGATATTTTTTTGATGTGAAATGAAATATTTCGGTGGCATAAATGTAAAAAAGTAAGATTCAAGTGTTCAATATGTAATGAGGTGGTACCTATATAAAAGCTCCTAAATTATATAGTGACTATCAATTAATTTACAAAATAAAGAAGAAGAAGAAGTAGAGAACTCAGCAACAGACCTTCAAAAAGCCATCTTCGGTCCCAACGAGAAACAACCGAGAGAATGGAAGAACACTGATGGCAGACAGAGCTGAAGGATTCCTTACTCCCCGATCAGCTGAGTAAAGCTTCTGTGGTGAAATTTTCTGCTGCAAAACCTGAATTAAACTCCTCAATTTTAATTTGTAACAGAAAAACAAAAAAAAAATCAAAATTTTTACATTATAATCAAGGATGGGCCTTTATCCCACTAAGTGGGGTCGGCTATGTGAATCATTTTTCTCCATTGTTGTTATTGTATAAGTAGCTGCTGCTCGACTTATATTTGAATCGAATATTTAACTTTTTAGATAAAACAATTGAAAAATCTAAATAAAAATGTTTATGGGAGTTCGCATACATACGACACAATTCCTACGCATTTACATATCAAATACCTAAACTTTTATATTTATATGCATGACAATCGATTCTTTCAAACCGCATCAAAATATCACTTTTACCATCTTTGTGAAGTGAAATATCTTTTCATGCATAAATTTATGACACAAAGTGTGATAAATGTAATATGAAAGTTTAGGTCTTCTATGTTTACATACATGGAAAGTGTGTGTGTGGTATGCATGCAAATGACCCAATATTTTGTTACAGATAGTTATCCTTCATTTAATTGTTTAATTATTTTGAGCCAAAATGAGTCGGGCATAGTCATACAGGTGCTGTGTTTTTGTTTGTGTTTAGCCCGCTCAACAAACTATTCAATAACGAGTTGTTTACGAATAACGAGCATTTTTGATAGCCCTAATTGCTATTATTACTTCTAATAATGACAGCATAGTGGCACATGATGAACTCAATCTCTTCCGCATTGATGACATTTGCCATATAAACTTGAGAATATATTCAAAGTTCTGATGAGGATAAAGATTTCATTCCATTAATTGATGTGAAAAAAAAAAACAGTTATGTAATTATGCAAGAAAACCTATAAGAAGAAAAAGAAAAGGAAATTTGCATACATGCCACGCAATTTTTATATATTTACATAGCTAACACCTACAGTTTGATAATTACACTTATAACACTTTGGTGTCATAAACTTATGCATGAAAAAACATATTTCACTTCTGCAAAATTAGTGATGGTGATCATTTTGAAGTGATGTTAAAGATTTAAGTGGTATGCCTGTAAATATTAATGCTTAGGTGTTGGGTATGAAAATACATAAGAAGTATGTGGTATGTATGTCAATGCCCCCAAAAAGAAAACATACCTCCTCCATGGACCGAGAAACAGAGGTGAGTGCAATATTATTTCTTGAAATAGAAATTACATCCTGGCCCCAAGCACAGAAGCTGGAGATACCGTCCTGATGGCCTCTAAAAATGTTGGTTTGAGCAGCCAAATTCCTGCAAGTTTATAAATTAAATTTTGATGAGGGCAATGCCTGAAATTCAAAATAGTTGAGAAAATTCCAGTAAAGAAGAGAAGGAGACTGAAAAAAATGAGGAAGGATTCATAAAAAGTGGTGAGATATAAGATTAACTTTTGAAGTTTCAAATTATCAGACAAACAAGAATTAGAAAATTTACATATATATTACACAATTTTTATGTATTTACATATCTAACACTCGAGTTTGATATTTAAAATTATAACACCTTAATGTTATAAGCCTATGCATGAACATGTGTTTCACTTTTAAAAGAGTATTGACAGCAGTATTTTCGATGCGATGTTAAAATTTTAAGAGGTATGCATGTAAATATTAAAATTTAGGTGATTTTAGTTATGGAAATACATAAGAATTGTGTGGTCTGAATAGAAATGCTCCATTATGTAATTTACATATTCGAGAAGATTAACAACGAACAACGGTTTGAGACTTGAGGGAAGCTAAATTCTCATTATAGAAAACCTGAAGAAAATGAAGTTCAACAAGATTTCAAATACTATGCTCAATATGGCGCTAAAGATGTATTTTGGTTTGCAAGTTAAGCTAAGGGCTTGTTTGGGATCAATTTATTTTTCACTTGTACTTTGTTTTTTATTTTGGTTTCAAAAACATATTATTTAATGTACTACTTAAAATACTACAACAACGACAACAACAACAAAGCCTTATCCCACTACGTGGGGTCGGCTACATGAATCCTTTTTCCCCATTCATGTACTACTTAAAATATTTATATTTTTTAATTTTAAAAATAAATAATTTTTTTTTTAATGTACTCGAAACTTTAAAGTATTTTTGAGTATTTCTAAAGACACAATCAAACATATTTTAATTTAAATCAAAACATAAAAAAATAAAATAAATATGAGAATAGAAAAAAAAAAAAAAGATAAAAGTGATCGCAAACATCCTCTAGGCTTTTGGAAACATATTTCATATGGGTTTTAGGGTCTCTCTTCAGGGATAAAAGGAGTTGAGGATGAATGGACTAGCATGATCAGAGCTTACAAACTTACTAAAATAAGAGGAACAATAGCATTAAGAATGCGGCTACATATTCAAAAATAAAATCAAAGTCGAATATCATTAAAATCATTTGTTGATAGATCTGATGCATCAAAATTTCTCAAGAAAAACATTTAATAGCATGGAAGTAAATGTGAGGATTTTTCAAAGGTAAAATGGAATGCAAAAGTAGTTTTCAAAATGAATTCTAAGGAGTAAAAGTGTCAAAATAGTCCCCTGACTATTTACATGGGTTATTTTAATCTCAAAGTCTATAAAAATGCTAAATTAATCTCATTCTCTTTTAATATTTATAAGGAGTCATTTTTCTCTCCTCTAGATTTTGTTGTTGATTTGACGCATAAATGACTCCTCTTTAGCCACATTAATCCACATAAATTTCTATGGCCACAATTACATTAAAAGATAATTATGATTTCAAAGTTTAGAGAATTTCAAATGGTTTTGACATCAAATACATGGAATGTTGATATTCGTAAGTTTTTTAAGCAAAATACAATGATGAAACTAGATTTTTAAGCATGTCATCCAATCATCCATAAATTTTCGCATGCTAGATGAAGGGTTGAATTAAAAGAATATTGATGAAACTCAATTCAAACATAACCTCCATGTTGTAGATTAGACTAGGTTTTAATCTTTAGTTATAAAGTGATATAAGAAAAAAATTAAACCTTTGGATAGAATTATCATTGTACTCCTAGAAAAATATAAAGATAATAGATAGATAGATAGAGAGAGAGAGAGAGCGTGTGTGTGTGTGTGTGTGAGAAAGAAGCTTAGAGATTAAAAATTAATGAAAACAATATCAGTAAGTGCGGCCGGCCTAGTTTGAATCATAGTAATTCGCCAGTCAAACTTGGCCTGTATTCCGATAAAATCAAGCGATGAGGAGAAGAATCAACTTGATTATTACCCAAAAATATGAAAAAAAAAAAGACAGCAAAAATAAAAAATAAAACATAACAATATAAAAAACAGCACCTTCTTAGGTCCCACAGTCGTAGAGTTTTATCAAGGGAGCTAGACAAAAGCAAATGGTCCTCTAGAGCACCCAACTGCAAATATCAAAAAGGAAAAAGGAAAGGAAGATATACATAAATACCACTCAAGTTTTAGATATTTACATATCTAACACCCAAACTTCAACTTCTATATATATATATATATATATATATATGTAAATTTTACCTATGCGTGAAAATGCGTATTTCACTTTTTAAAAGTTAACATAGTAGTATTTTTTGTGTGTTATGAATAATTTGATTGGTAAAGATGCAAAAAGTAAAATTCAGGTGTTAGATATGTAAATACAAAAGAGTTAGGCGGTATGTAAATACCCTAAAAGGAAAAAATGTGATCAGCTCAAATTTACATCTTTTAAATTTAGTTTTCAAAGAATATACCAACAATACCTTAGTGATATAACCATCATGCGCTCGCCAAAAAGCAATGACGCTTCCACTCCTTGCATCAAGCAGCCTACAATAGCCCGTGCTTAAGCCGGCTGCGATCCACGATGGCGAATCTATAGCTCTTTCTCTGCAAAGCTTTTCAGATCCACAAGAACAAATAGCTGACACGAGTGATGAGTAGGAATATTCAGCTGACTCGGTTTTCCACAGATGCAGCTTTCGATCTTGAAGAACATCAATGTACCTATATTCGATATTCATGAAGATTTAAATTGGGATGATGAAAGACTTCGATGCATATGAGCAAAGATCACAGTTTATCCTACCAAAAAATGCCAATAACATTACATATCCCAAGTTTTTATATGACGTCTGTTAGCAAAAGAGTAAAGCACCAAAATAGTCCCTCATCCCAGAGTCTATAAAAAAAAGCCAAAATTAGTCCCCATACTCTTTTAATACGAGGTTGAAATAGTTCTCAGAAATAACTATTTTAGCCACCACTATAAGAGTCTGAAGACTAAATTGACACATTTATAGACTCTAGAACTGAAATGACTCCTCTACAGAGACTCAGGATGTCGTTTTGACACTTATCTCATTAGCAAAAGATTACAAACAAAACTATTTCCTTTGCTAGGTCGGGCATCAGATGAGTAAAAGGAATACATGTAAAATTAAAATAATCACCAACACGAAACCTAAGCCTAACAATGCTAAAAATCATAGCTTTTCAAGCTTAGGTAATGAAAAGTAGACTGGCTATTTTCTCATTAACAAATTAAATACTATGACCAGGAATCCAAAAAATCAAAAACTTTTGATGTAGGGTGGGGTTTTGTGAGCGATAGATAAAAAATCTCTCATCCAAATTCACATAAATTTGAATGATACGTAAACGATTTCTCCAATTTCCATGTGTGATCATTCTTTCAAAAAGAGTCGTCCCACCAAACTATCAAGTCAATAGCATATATGATCTCTCAAAAATGAGAGTCTAAGTGATTTTTGGGGCATTTACATTTACCACCCAATTCCTATGTGTTTACATACCTAACACCTAAACTTTACCTTTTATATTTATAGCACCCAACTTGTTCATATCACATAAAAATATCACTATTTTTAACTTTTAAAAAGTGAAATACACTTTTTCATACATAGTTAAGGCAACATAGATGTAAAAAATGAAGTTCAGGTGATAGATATGTAAACATATAGGAATTGTGCTATTTATGCAAATCCTCCTAGAACAAAATAATAATCCAGCTGTATCGGTAAATTCTTTTTCATACTATTAGTTTGAAAATTGTATTTTATGCCTTTGATGCCTTAGAGAAACTTTAACCAATCCCTATATGAATGCACCGTCATGAACATTCATAAATCGCTCCACTATGGTGCAAATTATCAATGACTAAGGATATGCATACTCACTATTCATCATAATGTGAAACTAAAAGGACATAAGATATTGGAATGTTTTGAATTTGCATGGTGTGTCCATTTTTTGAAAGTGGGCAAAGTAAATCCAAATGTAGATAGACCAATTGTGTATGTTGACCTTACCATGATCCCTGCCAAAATTTGGCAATAGAGTTCACCACGGTCTAATTCAATTTGTTAAATACATAGTCTTTTAAAAGCCCAGAACTACAAACCAATGTGTCATTCTGAGTTCCGTCTCGCTTGAATGTGCAAGAGAGATGGATTTGTAAGAGTTCACACAGAAACTCACACAATAATTAGAATTATTATTATTATTATTTTAAATAAATAAATAGTTGCTCAAAATATATGGATATACAAATAAATGCTAAGTTATTAAAAATTTTATTATTAAAATTATAATTAAAATAAGATAAAATAACAAACTAAAATAAATTCGAATATATATACATATGACCTTATTTATTTTTATTTCACCATAAAATAATATATAATAATAGTGAGAATAAAAACAATAAATATAAATTCAAAATATATCCCCATATATATACACACATATAATAAAATAAATAAATAAATAAATAATTGGAGGGGCGTCGCTTCTCATCTTTTCCTTGATCTAGGGCATATTAAAGAGAGTGAAGGTCAACGCCCTATAAAGGTATCTTTATGATGCCTAATACAAAAAAGGACCAAAAAAAGTGGGAGTTATCGCTGTATAACCCTACTTCTAAAGAGAGGTAGAGAGAGAGGAGTTGGGGTACCACTTGGTTAATATCCCAAAGCTGATGATTTAAGTACAGCAATAAATGTGTACATCTCTATTAATATATCAAAAAAATACATTCTTTAAATCATCTTCCCCTCTCTCCAATTTTCTCCTCTTCCTTGTTCACTCGTGCATGCAAGTACCCGCCTAGCCCCACATTCCTCGTCATATACGTCTCTATGCCTCCTCCAACTCATTTGCTAACACACTTCACGACAATGCTCAAAATAGAGGGGATAGATTTGGAACCCTCGAGTGCAACCGAATCATGTGGCTTTGATGGCAATGGGGAGAACATTTTCACGTATTTTAGTTGTGATCTCTTGCTCAAAATGTATTCAAAATAATACCCCATGGGCACAGGTGCCCTGGGATGACTCCTCATAGGTTGCGGCACCCCACACATTACACATAATATTTTTATTGGTGTGTGGAATGGTCTATTTTTTCTATTCTATGAAAAGATGGCACAAAAATGATGCCAAAATCACCAAAAATTTAGACAAAAAATGGAAACAAGGATGAGATGAAGCATGATTAGGATGTGAGTTCATGGAAAAAGAGAGACAAAATTTGCATTGAAAATCATACAAACAACAGAAATATATAAGTTTTAGTTAACGGATTTCAATAAATTAGTTGCCGACAAGGATGCAAACATAATCAACTAGCAAAAGAAAATAAACAAAATGATGTTTTCGGAAGACTTTGCCAATGAAATCTTCATCATCAATAAAAAGATAACTTTAAAATATAAAATACTCCAAAACAACGCCCATATAATTTTATTAAACCATTGACAGTTGCAATGTAAAGCATGCAATGCTGAATCTTTATACAAACGCGATAGGACTCCATCCAGTTCAGAAAATACGAGAACTTATCTTTCAATTCAATGTTTGCACATTTTGTTTACAAGTGATTCTACATCATCTCATCTCCAACATCAATAAGAAACCTAAAATAAGAACCTAGTATTCTCTTGATAAAAAAACAAGAAAAATCTTAAAAATAAATTTTAAGAATATATATATATATATATATATTAAAGAAAAAGACTTCTATTCCATTAAAGTATCAGGTACAATTCTTAGATGTGGAACCTTTAATAGTTCACTCTCTAATAGAAAAAGAAGAGGAAAAGAAATAAGAGAAGAAACTTTTGCTAAAGAAAAGGTTCAAAAATGTTGAAATACATAGTATCAGGTGGCTATAGAGCAACACAATTTGGTTTTGTCTCTGCCTCTGGTTCTGGGGAAAGAGCAAGCTAATAAGTTAGTAAGATGATTATCATTGCCAATAGTAACCAATGTATCATCTAAAATGATCATCTAAAATGTTCCCGTTCCCGAGCTGGAGTCGGCCTCCATTCTTTTTCTTCCTCCTGGAATAGACCTGTCATTTCTCTTCCAAGGATTGACTCAACTGATCTTGTTCTAAAGTGTGTTGGAGATGTGAAGATTGTTGAACATTAGAAACAACTACATGTTGTATCGGCTGATCTGTTGTTGGATCAAAAGAGCCCTCTCGTGTTTCTTGACATGTATGTGAGTCTTCTTCAATAATAGTGGGTAGTGGGTGGTATAAGCACAACTGCACAACTGAATCTGTAGTATGTTGTTCTTCAGAAACTGTGGTGTTGGGAAGGGGATCGGGTTGCATCTTCTCAACAGGGATAATAGGTGGTTGTTCTTTAGCGATATTCAGCCTTAGATGAGGATGTAAACGATTGAAAATAGTAGAGTTGTGGCCAAACATACTACAATGAGAGCAATAAAGAGGGTGTGATTCGATTTCCACCTTTTGTCAATATTCATTGTGAGTGGTTCCAATCCACACCTCATCCAGAGCTGGTTGAGTGATATCCCTCTCAACTAACACACAAGTCACAGAGGGTCTGGTGACAGCAAGCATAGGACTATCAACCCTGAGAGACTTATCGTAAGCAGTTGCTAAGGAGTAGAGAATTTCCAAATTGAACAGATGTAATTTTAACCCCAAAAATTTTATCCAAACTGGAATGATAGGGGACTCCGCCTTTGGGTCGAAATCAGAATTTTCATATAATGGTTGCCGATCTTGATAACTTTTCGAGAAAAGATGTGAGTGTAATCGACATCATGAGACAACTGAATCAGTATGTGCCGACCGTCAAGTAAACTAAAATTCCAACTGCCCAATAGCTTCATAGCCTCAAAATCTTTTCGAATGATCTCCAGTTTTGGGTGACCATACAGA